GCTACCTTATAACTTATAACCATGAATTTCGCTGTCCTTGAACTTCCGAAACCCCGAGAATTCCCGCATTTCATACGACCCACTGGCAACCGACGATACCGGGGCCTTGATAATTGAAAACAAGGCTTTGGGGTAATCGCTATAGTAATTATACACAGACTATAAGGGGACACGATTTACCAATGATTCCAACGCCTATATCAAAGATCTAAATACAAGCCAGTTGAATCCTACACCCTAAGCCACAGAGTCAATCCTAGACATTAAGCCCTCAATCCTAGACCCTCAAGCTCTGAAACCATGGGGCAGCTTGTAAACGTTGGTTGAAACCCTTGTTGACAGTGGGCTTCCACAGGGATTTGGTTTTTACGGCCTTTAGGGTTTAGGGCTTCCGGAAGCCCTGCGTTGCAAGCTGCTGTATGCTGTGCTATAGTTGGGTATTTGCGAAAGTGGGGTTGAGTTCGGGGCTCTTTTTTGGAGTGCATGACTAAGCTGTGTGCGAGAACTTCTCTATCACAAGGGACATGGTCGGGAGCAAGCTGGTGGGAATACACTGCCGACGGGTGTGCCAAGAAAGCTATCATCTGACGAAATTTCTGTTCTTCTGGCATCCAGCTGCCCACTCCTGTGCTGCTACTGCTACAGCTACCACTAGCCCTGCGGCTACTGTTACTGCTGCAAGAGGACGAGGAAACGCATAACCAACCGACGACGATCGCAAGGAGCGACGACTAGCCATCACCCCGTCTCGCTTGATGTCGGCTGTTGGTTTTCATCTGGCGATATAATCTACCCTGGCATACTATAGTGTACCATAGGATACTGTAGCAGTTACATACTATAAGATCCCATGGCATACCGCACTATACTGTAAAAATCCCATAACCATGGGCCGCCCGCGCCAGGCGGCGGCCGGTACCACTGAACGCTACCGCTTCGAGATCTGCTTGCTTTGCCAAGCAGATCGAGTCTTCCATACCTGATTTGGCAATGCTAGCCATGGGGCACCGTATATAATGGAGTTACCCTTAACCCCTAGCGCGCGACCCCGGCGGGCCTCCTTACGGGACTCCCTTACGGGACAGAGAGGCATGGGACGGGGGGCACTTACGGGACGAGCGTCCTTACGGGACGGAGGCGCTTAGGCGCTTACGGGACGAGCCTCCTTACAGGACGCCTCTTTACAGGGGGAGGCGCTTACAGGACAAACGTCCTTACGGGACGGAGGCGCTTACAGAACGAGCCTCCTTCTGCGGGACAAGGCGCTTACAGGACGAGCGTCCTTACGGGACGGAGGTGCTTACGGGACGAGCCTCCTTACGGGACGGAGGCGCTTACGGGACCCGGGACGAGCGTCCTTACGGGACGGAGGCGGAAGAACCTCCTTTTGCGGGACGGAGGCGCTTACGGGACGAGCGTCCTTCTGGGACGAGGGCGCTTACGGGACGAGCCTCTTTACAGGGCGGAGGCGCTCACGGGACGAGCCTCCTCACAGGACTCCTTTTGCGGGACGGAGGCGCTTAGGGGACGAGCGTCCTCACGGGACGGAGGCGCTTACGGGACGCGCCCGTTGCGGGACGGAGGCGCTTACGGCTTACGGGACGAGCCTTGCACGGACTTCTTTTTACGGCACGGAGGCGCTTATACGGGACGAGCATCCTTACGGGACGGAGACGCTGACGCGCCTCCTTGCGCGACTTCTTTTTTGCCGGACGGAGGCGCTTACAGACCTTACGGGACGGAGGCGCTTACGGGACGAGCCTCACGGGACGGAGGCGCTTACGGGACGAGCCTCTTTACGGGACTTCCTTTTGCGGGACGGAGGCGCTTACGGGACGAGCGTCCTTACGGGACGGAGGCGCTTACGTGACAAACGTCCTTACGGAGGGAGGGCTCACGGGACGAGCCCCCACGGAACGGAGGCGCTTACGGAACGAGTCCCATACGGGACAAGAGCGCTTACGGGACGAGCGTCCTTACGGGACGGAGAGGCATGGGACGGGGGGCACTTACGGGACGAGCGTCCTTACGGGACGGAGGCGCTTACAGAACGGAGGCGCTTATAGGCGCTTACGGGACGAGCCTCCTTACAGGACGCCTCTTTACAGGGGGAGGTGCTTACAGGACGAACGTCCTTACGGGACGGAGCACTTACGGGACGAGCCTCGTTTTGCGGGACAAGGCGCTTACAGGACGAGCGTCCTTACGGGACGGAGGCGCTTACGGGACAAGCCTCCTTATATACGGGACGGAGGCGCCTACCGGGACGAGCCTCCTTACGGGACGGAGGCGGTAGAGCCTCCTTTTGCGGGACGGAGGCGCTTACGGGACAAGCGTCCTCACGGGACGGAGGCGCTTACGGGACGCGCCCCTTGCGGTTACGCGACTTCTTTTTTGCCGGACGGAGGCGCTTATACAGGCCTTACGGGACGGAGGCGCTTACGGGACGAGCCTCACGGGACGAGCCTGTTTACGGGACTTCCTTTTGCGGGACGGAGGCGCTTACGGGACGAGCGTCCTTACGGGACAGAGGCGCTTACGGGACGAGCCTCTTTACGGGACGCAGGCGCTTACGGGACGAATCTCCTTACAAGATGGAGACGCTCACGGGACGAGCGTCCTTACGGGACGGAGGCGCTTGCGAACGAGCCTCGAGACTCGTGTATTACGAGACGGAGGGCGCCTACGGGACGAGCATCCTTACGCACTCGTTTGCTTCGTCGTCCTTCTCTCTGAAGAATATGCTGACGACGGGACGACACTTACGGGACAAGCGTCCCTATACGGGACGGAGGCGCTTACGGGACGATCCTCTTTGCGGGACGGAGGCGCTTGCGACGAGCCTCCTTATACGGGACTTCTTTTTACGGGACGGAGGCGCTTACGGGACGGGCGTCCTTATACCCTGAAAGTCCAACAGCCCTGAAAAACGAGGCGGTTCACGAACCTCCCTGTTTTGCTGGGCTGTTTGACTAACCTTCAACTTTTGGGTGTGATGAAGAGCGGTAGTTTTGGGATACCTGCAGGGGCCTCAACACGGTTCTAGAGTGCAGGCAAATTCTCTGTGGCAACAACATTTTTGGATTCCGTGCAGCAGCACATACGCGGTAAAATCAACAGCATCACGCCCTCATCACGCCCGGATCACGTCTAAACTGGGCGGTTCCTCGTTCCACATACTATCTATCGATTGGGCTCCCTCCCAGCATCACGCTCGAATCACGCTGGCATCACGCCCGCGGTTGCCCTCAGAACCCCTTCAAAAATAGGCAAAAGAAGCCATTTCTGAAAGAGAACACCGCTGGCATCGCTTGATATCGATATCTGAAGTACTTTTCTGGTCGTCGTGCAAAACAAGGACTTCGAAATGTGAATCTACAAAACTAGGCGGTTAGTTTCAAAACTAGGCGGTTAGTTTGCACGACAAGCCGCCTCGAAAAACGAGGCGGTTGACGTCTAGGGTTACGGGACGGAGGCGCTTACGGGACGAGCCTCCTTACGGGACGGAGGCGCTTACGGGACGAGTCCCTTACGGGACTTCTTTTTACAGGAAGGAGGCGCTTATATACGGGACGATCCGCCTTACAGAACGGAGGCGCTCTCGAGAAGCTCCGGGATAACGGCAAGCATCTCGACAGGGACAAACAGGGGCGGGGAGCTTTTCTCCAGGAGCCGGCGGCGCTTCAGGGCTGGCGTAACTGTGACGGGACCAGAGACCAGCGCAGCTTCTGCCTCATCTTCGATGTCACTTGGATCGTAGTCCACCTCACTTAAGCAGTCTTCAGGCGAAGCGACCACTGCTCCTGCGCCGTGCCCTGATTCCACGACATCCTCGGCAAAGGCGAGGTAAATGCCGAGCTGCTGCATGTGTGCTGCTCGTTCTGGCACAGGAAGCCTCTGCGAACGACGCATATTTTGCGAGGACTGATGTTTACGTATGTCTTGTTGACCGTGTTGTCTTGAGTCATAGAAATCTTGGATTCACGACATGCACAACACGGCGGATGCAGGGATCAAACACCGGGACATGTGTTAAAGTTATGCTGATCAACACAAAGGCCCCATTGCAGCCTGGCGAAGGGCTTCAGATCCCGGACCAGATTTCTGGGCAGCTTGGTCGGCAAGCCGTTGAGGTCCGATGTCAAGGACTTGGGGTACAGCTTGGTGACGGCTGCACCTTCGACCCCGAGCAGGACCGCCGGCGGCTCCGCTCCAGGTGTCGCAAAGCCCTCCCAAAAGGAGTCAAGGAGGACGAGGGTGCTCATGTTGTTGGCCACCCCAGCACTAACGCTCCCCTTTCTTTGAGAAATATGACAAGTGGACACAATAGCTCGGGCCGGTGTGTGAGTCGACTGAGGAGCCTAATATTAGTGTTGCTCGCTCCGACTTGTGCAAGAACTCGAAGTATCCCACGCGCCTGCACGTGGCCCGGGCGAAAGCCTCGTGGACGTGCTCGGCCTGGGTAACCGCTCAGGCTCGCTTGCTCGATTTTCCAGATTGTCCCAACTGACTGCAGTGGTGCAGCAAACTGAAAATGTTCTAAACCCGCGATAAAATTACTTCGGGTGGTTGGGGTGGGATCCGCTGCACTGAAGCGGCCCGACTGGCACGGGGTCGGGACGCGGCACTGAAACACACCCTAAACCCTAAACCCCATGCTACATGATACTTTTGTCATGCCCCCAGGTTGGCTCTTGAGATTCTGTCCCGGCTTAAACCCTGAAGGCCTTGGCAATAGTAATTGGTTCCTTTATCAGGGGCTCTGCCGGGGCCAAGGGAAGATGGATCCCATCAGGGTTTAGGGTTTACTATACTGAATTTAGAACCCTAGCAAAAATTATAATTTTAGCTGTTTCTTAGGGATTATAATAACCAAACATTAAAAAATGTTTCTAGGTACCCCTAAGTTTAGGGTACCATAAGGGTTGCTCTACAGGCTCTTGCTTTGCAAGGGGCCTTGGGGTTTTTAGGGCCCACCCGACCTTCGACGTCTTCACATTTCAGTCTTTCGACGGAAGCCTCAGGCATGGCAAAAGAGAGAGGCAAATATGGAGGCCTTAACAACCAGGATAGGTTTTTTGGGTGTATATTATACTATAATCATAATCAAGAGTCCCAAACTAGTGCAGGTAATTATTCAGGGGCCTATATTGTGGAGGATGCTTGAGGATTCAGCGAGTTCTACGGCCCATTTCCACTGCGCCAAAATCACACAAACCTTTGCCCTGCAGTCTTATTAATCATTACCAGGTAATATAGGGGCCTTAATGATTAGCCTAGAACTTTGGGGCCCTTTATACTAGAATTACTATAAGGAGCCCCCATCGATAGGTAATTATTAAATTAATTAAAGGCCCCTATCTATACAAAATCCTTATAATAGCCCATTATAGTAGCCCTTCTAGACCCCTCTTAAAGGAACCCTTTAAGGGTATGTATTCAGGCCCCTATAGTATCTAGCCTAAAGCTCTTCCGGCACTTCGACGCCCAGCTTATAGTGAACCCTAAACGCCTCCTAACAAGAAGACCCAGAACCCCCGAAGTCTCAGGTGCAAGATGCTCCAAGAACAGCTAAAAGCACACTCATATGGGAGTTTCCGACAATAGGGGACCCTAATATAGTAACCTAAATGGTAGGATCCTTAGCATAAGGACACCAAAATAAGGAACCCCTAACTAGCGCCACTTCTGCAAGTTGGGGTTTAGGGTTGAGGCTCCATGTTATTTAGAGAAGTGACGAGTTTATACTACACAGAGAGGAACCGGTGGCTTGCGGGGAATCCTGCATACCTGTACTCATCTGATCTGAAGCCTGGAGGACATGCAAGTGTGGTAAACACGGCCTGCAAAGTTAGGACAGGTTTACGCTGAGGAGCACAAGTTGAGCACGACACATGGCTCAGATTGTAGCCAAACGAGGAGGACGAATACACCGGCCCGAACAGCTACCAAGTTACTCCTATATCGTTGCTGATCAGAAGTATACTATTGAAAGGACCCACGAAGTTGTGGCTCGATTCACTCAGGCGCCAAAATTGGGGTGGAGCCTGTTTGCAGTGTCAGGGCATTGGCTCTGGTTTTGGGGCTTGCTTCGGGACCAACCTCTTCATACCACCAAGGTCTTTGGATTTACGGCCTAGACTTAGATGAAACAAGGGCTTTGGCATGATGGGGGGATGAAGATCAGAGGGGGTTGAGGCGTTTAGGGCATCAGGCTCAAGACAAGGAATACAGAAAGACATGAGAGCTTTTCCAAGTGAAAGCCCAATGCCGGCAATCATAAACACGAGCTTGATTCCCTTAGCCCTAAGGGCAAGTCCAGAAAACAAAGTAGTTTTTTCATCATACACGAGTATCCAATTCCAACTAACAAGGCCCGTATGCTTGCCCAGAGAGCACTGAAACACCAACGCATATGAAAGAAAGCTTCTTTACCCTAAACCCCTTACCCCAATAATATCCGATAATCCTAACCCCCCAAAAAAACTCTTCAACCCTAAACCCTTAAACCCTAAAACCCCCTAAAACCCGAAACGTCGTGCCCAAAGAGCATGGCTTCTAGCTTCTCTGAGAGTTCTTCGAAGGAGGGCCGGCCCTGGCGAAGGAGGGCTGCAAGGCTTCAGGATCCCTTTAAAAGGGATCGACAAAGGGCTCCTATAAAGGGTACTATAACGGTTCCTTCAAAGGGGCACTATAAGGGCTCCCTTAAGGGATCCATGGTTTTGGAAGGTTTTGGTGTTTTGTTTTGTTTTGAATCTTAGGGTTCTGGGTTCTATAGGCTCTCAAAGTGTAGAATGTGGGGTCTTACAGCTCTAGAGCTTAGGGCTTTCGGGCGTTCAAAGGGCTTCGGGTTTGGGGCTTCGAGTTTTAGTTAGGGCTTTCGGGCTCAGGGCCCGGGGTTTACAGCTTAGGGTGGAACGGTTCTGAGCTGAGGGTTTGGGGCAGGGGCTGGCGCGCTCCAGAAGGGATGTCTTCTGGGCAAACCTCGGAGACTTAATTCGGAGGCTGAAGGGCTCTACAAACGGTTATAAAGAGTTTTCGAAAAGCTTTGAGGGCTGTAGAAGGAAGGTCTTGCTGGGGGGCATTGGAAGGTTTGGAAGCACTTCATGTTGCGAGCTGTATGAATCAAGCCGTATAGCGGGTCTGGTGATTATGGCTTTTATGAAGTTCTGTAAGTGTGCTAGGTGTTCTGAGATTTGGGGGGCTCAGGTCTTCGCATTTTGGGGCTAACCGGTTTAGGATTAGAGGTCGCTTTCGGCATGTTTACGGCTTATGGAAGTCAACAGCCTTTCGGGGATTGGGAGCACGGAAAAGCACGCCCTCACCCCGACGAAGCACCACGGATGGCCCACAGCTCCATGACTTGAACCATGCTCTGTTCGGCGTTGCTGTTTGGCCAATGACCCTTCGCATTTGGTACTTGGAGGTTCACAGGTAGTTATAAGTGGAGTTATAAGTCCATTAATGAGGGTTATAAATATAGCTACCCTGCTTATAACCCACTAAAAGTACCCATGAACCTCCAAGTAGGGTCTTCACAGCTCTAAGTCTCGCAGGTCCGCTGGGACAAGCCCAGGGGCGTGTAGGCGAAGCTCACGTGGTGCTCCCAGTGGATCTGTGCCAAGATCTCCTCGACACCCGCCAAGCGACCAGTCGGGAAGTCCCGCGGGCGACCGTCGACCAGGCGATCGTTGTACGCCGGAGTGCAATCATCAGCCCACGGAGATCCAGTGTCTCAGTGGAGTCTGCATTGTGGAACTCATCTAGAACAATGAACGTCGGGGTCGTAGAATGGCTGGCTCTTTCTAGAATTGAACTGCGGTTTCGATAAGGTCGAGGGGTTGATGGGAAGCATATCTTAGTTGCTGAGTTCATAAGCCCCAAAAAGTGTACACTTTTGGTTTTATAGTGGGTGATATTATCCCAAAAAGTGTAAAGTGTGTCCACTCAGCTACTAAGATATAATTACACCTAAACCTAAACCCCAAACCCCTAAGACCTAAACCCTCAAACCCTAAACCCTTAGACCCTAAACCCTATGAGGCCAAATTGAGGCTGAACTCGGAGCAGCTTCAAGCAAGATGTTTGGTGTGGAGGAACAGACCCGGACTCAACCCACAAACGGTAAGAGACACGAAGAATAAGAGACGCTTGGGGTTTAGGGTTTTCGTTGAGGGTTTAGGGTTCAGGGCTTAGGGCTTGCCCGAAGCAACCCAGAGCCAAGCTAGTACGATTTACACCCGCCTGGGAACATAGTATAAAAGGCGCATCAAATCCCAACCCCCCAAAACATCGAGGAGAGCCACGACTACTACCCGGTTTCGGCAGCAGTTAGGATGCAATGAAGTACGACAACAGTAGCTTCTTGTCCTTACGAAAGTGGGCCTTGCCATACCAACAGTAAACACATAGTTATTCATACACACACACACACACGCATACACATGCACATACACGTCACATATGCATACACATGAACACCTGCATATGCATATACATATACATACAGTAGACATACAGACATATACACATATACACATATATACATATGCATATACAGATACATGGACATTTACAGATACATATGTATATGTACATATGTGGAATGAGTGAATGAGATACTTCAGGGCAGAATGAAACAACGAATGAATGAACGCATGAATGAATGAGTGAATTACTTAGTTAGTTCACCCATTATTTAAGCAGCTAATTATGTAGTTAACTAACTAACTAACTAACTAACTAACGAACGAACTAACTAACTAACTAACTAACTGGCTAGCTAGCTAACAAGTGAGTTACCTAGTTAGTTAGTTGTTTGGTTGGATAGTTAGTTAGTTTTCTAATTGGTAAATGTGATAACTAAATAACTAATTACTTAATTAGTGCATCAATGCATGAATCAAGTAATTTAGTGAATTAATTAATGAATGATTTTATTAATTCAGTAATGAATGAATGAATTGACTGTTTAAAAATGAAATGTTTAAACACTTGATTTTTTAAATGCATGTTGCATTAACTGGTCATTTACTCAGTTAATTACTTCATTAATGAAAAATACCATTTAGTTAATGAAGTATGGGGTAAACACTCTGCAAAATGCATGCATCCAGACAAGACAGATGTAATCAATAAGCAAGTCTGTAAACACAATAAGTAATAGATGATGGGGAGTCTACACAAATTTCTCTGTGACAAGGACCCCCTTCCGTCCTCGTGCTTGTACGTGAAGCACCTGAGGGCTGCTTGGATCGTAATATAGGGCCTTAATAATTAGCATAGGGTTCCCTTTAAAGGGATCCTTTTGAAGGGGTCTAGAAGGGATCTATAGTAGGGTTCTATAATGTAGGGGCCTTAATGATTAGCATATGTTTTCGGGGCCGGGCGCATTATACTGGAGTTATAAGAAGGAATCCTCCCCAAAGAGCAGTATTGGTAATTATTTCGGCCCCTACATTATAGAACCCTACTATAGATCCCTTATAGACCCCTTTAAAAGGATCCCTTTAAAGGGAACCCTATGCTAATTATTAAGGCCCTCCACTGTCTTTGATTCGGGCCCAGGGATGCTTGCGAAGTCCCCCAATCCGTCAGTTCAGCTTAGGTCCTGTGGACATATGGGTGGTAGTCAAAATTATGGCCCCTCTTTGGGTACCCTAAATATTAGGTGCCGTATTATATTAGGGACCCAATAAGGGACCATAATTTTGACAACCACCCATATGGAGTTCAGGATCTCAAGCTTCGGGAGTCCATGAAAACCTGAATACCAAAGCAAATTGCTCGAGAGCCTGCCGAACCCCCAGCACACAATGCATTTAGACTCAGCCCTCTCCCTACCTTGCCAAAGAGCATACCTTCGAACCGAAGACGGTTTAGATGCAAAGCCCCAGCCGGCGTAAGGCTTAATGTTCACGATTGTTTAGTTTAACTTACTGGTGCTTAACGGGGAAAGGGAGCGTCGGTCCCTGTGATAGTCCCTATAAGAACCTTAACTTGTAGTAGTCCGCAGATTTCCTCCTCCACTCTTCCTGGAGGCCCTGAAGCACCAGTAAGTTAAGCGGTCTGAAACGTGTGCCTGGTAGGGAAAAGCATTGGATTTGCTGCTACGTACTGAGACTTGTCGCCTGTTAAGGGGCGTAGGAGCATTCTGCAGAGTCCCTTTCAGAGTTCCTGTAGGCCTGTAGGATTCCTGGAAGTATTCCATAGGGTTTGGTACTTCAGCTGTGTAAGGGTTGGGCTTAGGATTGGAGGGTTTAGTGCTTTGGGTACATATACGCTAAAACACTACAGGTACTGCGACGCCTACTTGTCACCGGCGAAGATGCTTCAGGCCAAGATCCACAACCCTAAACCGGAAGGTTCAGGATTTTGGGATCCGGGCTTAAACCCTAAACCCCTAAACCCTAAACCCTAAAGGTGCACGCTGGGCATTCAAGGCGACGGTGCTCTTCAACTTCTCGGCAGAAGGAGCCGAGACTCCAAGTCCGAATCATCACAACCCTCAAAACCCTAAAACCGAAAGCCTTGATAACCTACCCCGAGGGTCCATGTACTCATATAGTATATACATTGGCCTTAATGTAGTCCCTATATAGGTACTTTGGGGCCCATGTATCTCTATATGGGTACATGGACCCTTAGGGCTACAATACCTACAACTTAGAAAACTTACAAGCAAGTAAACTGCGAAGCGACATGAAACAAAGGCCGGACAAGCACCTATCCATAGCTTTCAGGGCATCCATATATCACTACGAGGGGATGGGTTTCAGATTGCAACCTACACCATAATAGTATAAAACAAAACCCAAACTGCCCTCAACTAAAACAACATATCAACATTGGGTTTGGGGGAATGTATTATAGCATCGCTTTCTCAAGAAGCCCTAAGGAACAGTACTGGTAATGGCTGAGGCTTCTATACTAAACCCAAAACCCTGATAAAACCCTTGATAACACCCTTATAGTACCCCTTATGGAACCCTTGGCAGGAGCCTTTCACATATCCTTCTTCAACACTAAGTCCCTAAACCCTAAATCCCTGAACCCTAAACCCCTAAACCCTAAATCCTCAACCGCCCAGGGCACCGCTTGATCAGCGCGCCAAAGTCTTCGGGCACATCGCCGGTCCAATCTGGAGTCTTGCCACGGAACACCTGGGTTTAGGGTTCGGGGAGCATTCTGCTGTTTTAGGGTTTAGGGGTTAGGTTCCGGTTTTTGAGTGTGTCTTCGGGCTGACTGTCCGTTGGCCTACAGAGACTACAGTGCAGCAGACCCCCCCAAAAAATAGGAAACTTCACAGTTTCCAAATATGTGAAAAGCAAACGTGGAAAGAGTCACACATGTGGTCTCACGTTATGCATTGAAAACGGGAGTGCTGCTGGCTTGGAACGCACCCACCCGAGCTATGATGACTGGCAGAATGAACCATCTCCATCCAAAATCAAGATGAGGCCAGCTGACCTTTACCACTTGCTACCTTCTATTTTCCTTGAAAGTAGGAGCCGAGCCCCGGAAAGTTTCGAAGGACAGATTGACCACGCAAGGGGTGTAAGAAATCGACAAAAAAGCAACATCTTGCTGCTGGCGCCAATGACGTACAATACGCTGACCATGATGGCGATCTATGGATCGTCATGTTGTTGGCATTCTCGTTGCTGTTACTGTCGTACTTGCTGTTGCGGATGCTGATGATTGTGCCACCAATGAAGACGACGCTGATGGCATTTACCCTGAGTGCCATTGACTCGTTACAGTTCGGCTGCGAGAATTCTGGGGAGATGCAGGTCGCTTCGGCATCGACTCGCATTGTCTCTCGAGACAAGGGGTGTGACCACGGTGAGGGTGTCGACGGCTCACCACCTGTGTTCGGCCAAGAAGATTGCCAATGTCGACCGACTGTTGCCGTGGTGGTGCTTGCAAATTGCAACTGCTCGGGCAATCTTATTCTTTGTTCATGCCAGTGCTTGTATACAGTTTTTGCCTGGAGGATGACAGATGCATGTGGATCCGCACCATCATTTCGTGTGTCTGCTCGTCAATTTTGTTGGAGGCGTGACCACCTCGAGTATGCGAGATTCAACTTTGCTGGGTGGCTTTCACGGTTTGGTCACTTTCGCCGTGTCTGGCAATGGCTACATGCTTTGCAATACCGCTCAGATATGCTTTCAGTTCTTGTACAGCCTCGTTTGATGAGGTTTTGCCGTGATTTTTCTACAACTCGCTCCCTGGCCGCGTTTGTACAGTTTCCAGGTGCTCAGTGCCCACACCACTCTGCTTTGCCTCGACTCTGTGATCTTCGCGCCTTTGACTTCATTGCCACAGAAAGCAACTGGAACACTTCCAGCTGTTGCTGGATGATTCTGGATGACAGTTTGATTCTACCTGATTGTGAAGAACAACGGGCTACGTGCAAGGGGTGGCCAACTACTTCGTTATTTGCAAAATCCTTTGAGGCTTGCTGATCTATGTGCGGAATCCCCTTGTGGGTGACCCCGAGGTCAGCGGTCTCCCAGACTTTGAGCTGGAGAATGTCTTACAATGAAGACGACGATGAAAATGAGTATGATACGTGGAAAGACCACGACTATGATGCATGGGCACATGCCGTGTGCCCGACCTGTTTCCAAAGATTCGTTGAACGAACCAACGAAACCAAACCTGACCCTGCTTTGAGGAGCGTCACAGCCACGAAACCGCAAACAACCATGGGTGGGCCCTCCTAAGCAAACCTGGGCTTCAGGGCTGTACGGTTCAGGATGTAAGCCCCTAAGACGAAGGAATCGCAGCAGCAGATCCCGAAATTACCCTCCAGAAAAGAAACACTTGAACCCTGAGCATCAATTCCCGGCCGAGCGGCTGTGATCACGATCTTGGCAAAGGGGGTTTAAGGCTTCAGGGGTTCACCTGCCTAGGGTGGTTTACCGTGTAGGCTTAAGGGCTTCATGGTTCGGGGGCATATGGTTTAGGGTTTGAGGAAGATGAAGTTTTGCTCATGGCCCTTGGGTTTCGTGCCCTAGCCCAAGAATCAATAAGTTAGTCCTTCCATTGTGGAAGCACTATATTACCCAGTCTGGTTACAGGTTGCCCCTGGCTGCAAAGACATAGAAGGTGGAGCAATTCAGGCCAAACCAAGCAGGCAGAGTATGCAGGCGTGAATGAAATACAGGTGCCTTGGTGGTGCACTGGTTTTTGGGTTGAGAAGATGGAACAAACACATGTGGGGGGGGGGGGGGTATGAAGGCATGTCATTGCTACTTGCTCCGACCTCCGGACTTTCAGTTCTGGTCTGCCATCCTACCTTTATAGGTACAGTACATACATGCAAGAACCTGAAGGATATTACAGCCAGTGGCAGCGAGCAGGAAACAACGGGATCAAAGTGAAAGGCTCGGTTGATGATATAAATCTGTATTAACAATAATAAGGAATATACCATAATTCCCATAGTTTAGGGTCCTAAAGGTAATGCAGGATTTCTATTATCATCAGCCGTAGTACCTACAACCCAAAACCCTAAACCCCTGTAACAAGGCGTGCGACACTACAAAAAAAACGACCAAGCGGATGGTTTCGAATCCGAACTCTTTCGCTTCACTCTGCCGAACCAGGAGGTCCCAAAAACATAAGTAAACTGAGAGGATTTAGGGTTTAGGGCTTTTTAGGGCCCGTGCAAGTACAAAGAAGTAAACTGGAACTCCAAGTTCTAATCTCTAAGCCCTAAATCCGGGCCTTTCAACTCCGAACCTTGCTATTCGAGCTCTGGAAGCCTAGGCCTAAGCCCCAAACCCCACTCTCGAAGGCCAATTAAGAACTCTGAATCCCTGGATCCTGCATCCTAAACCCTACCCAGAGGCTCCATAGTAGTTCCTTTTTGGGATTACCTATTATAGGGTTCTAAATATAAACCCAAAAAGGAACTACTATGGAGATTATGGCTAAACTCCAACGACGAAGGCGTTATTGTTTCAGCAAAGGGTCTTGCCCAGGATTCTTTCCCTGGTAGCAGCACTTGCCATGGAACGCCTCATTCGGGTTCCTTTAATCATGGGGACCCTTAGGGGCTTAGGGGGGAGAGGGGCAGGGCAGAACTCTACTTCCTTCAATAGGCCTTATCAAGTCTTTATTATAGGTATAAAGCCCGCCTACCCCCCCTACCCCAAAGGGTCCAAGTATCACTATGGCCACTATGGTATATATAGACCCCCAAAATGCCCTATAAGCATAGCCCATAATGATACTTGGACCCCTTGGGTAAGGGTGCGTATGACTTAAGGGTTCCCAAAAAGGGGGAACCTCTAAGCGTTCCTTGACGGGTTCATTTATGGGGGCCGGCTGCTTGAAACCTTTCTACTATATGCGCACTTCTGACGAAAACAGGCTCAGGGAATATTGTAGTATAGTTATACTAGAAGGGGCAGCATCGTTATGTAATGCCGACTGCTAGCTTGGGTTTCACGAATTGTTGTAGGGCATCTCAGGGATTCTCAAAGGTTTCATGGGTTTAGAGCCCTAGGTTTCCTCCTTTGGGAGCCTAATATGTAAAGCTGTCTTAAGTCGTTATCATGGTTTCCAAGACTCTCGTGGCCGAGTTCAGAGTTCAGGCTGATTACGACCCCAAACCCTGCCTACGTTTCGAGCTGCAGGGCCTCAGGCCTTCGGGCAGCATGAATTAGAGCATCCCGGCATAATCCTATGCCTTTGTGGCCATACTACCCTAAACCCTACACCCGAGGCCCTGATCTACTCTAGCGTTGCCTGTATCGGGCTCCAGGCTTACTGGGCCTTAGCAACTTCGAAGTCTTGCAAACCGTCCAGGTTTTTCGAGGTTTACTGATTCAGAAACCCTGGATCTATAACCCCCAAATAGTAAGTTTCATCTAAGGCACCCTAACAAAGGCCCAAGGTTTCTTAGAGAGGCTCCTACATTACTGGGATCCTGGTGACCGATTCCTTCAATACTTGCTCGGGGGGTTGATGGGCTTTGAGCTGTTGGCTTAAGGCTGGTGCGGGGTGGGGATCCGGAGGGTGGGGGGTAGGGGGTGAAGGGGGTGGAGTGTATGTCGGGGAGTAGGATTTCGGGTTGGAGGGAAAACTACCAGTGACATGATATCATGTGCGTTGCTAGTGGGCGAGAGGTACTGCTTCGGTTGGCAGGTTTTAGATTCAAGTCGTAGTAATCCTACAGCAACCCATCTTAAACCCTGATACTAACCCCTTCTAGAACCCTTACAGCAGCACGCCTTACACACTATAGTAACTGTTATAATGACGCCCTACAGTTCACCCTTAAGCAAGCGCCAGTGTAGTCACAAAACTCTAGACCCTCAGCATGAAGCACGACCTAAGTCAACAAACAAATCAAGGAATATGTATAACTCTGGAAACATGTGCCTGTACGTATATGTTGTATATAAATATCTATATATATATATATATATATATATACATATATATATATATACACGTATACACATGTGTATATATATATATACATATATATATATGTATATGATACACATACACATCTATGTATATGGGTTTGGGGTTTAGGGGTTGGGAATTTAGGAGTTGAGGGTTTAGGGGTTTAGGGGTTAGGGTTAGAGTTGTAGGGGCCAGTGGGTTTATGATTTGGGGGTTTAGGGGTTACGAGAAAATGGTCAAGGGTACGGGGTTTACGTCACCCATACCCAAATAATTATTGGCGACCAAGCACCGTAGCGGTACTAACACAACAGAGAGCAGCGTAATTAGAAATCACCCAATGTGGTCAAGTATGTATCAGTATGATACAGCAAACCCAAATCGTGCGAAGCAGTGACATTAGGACACATTAGTTAACTCAGACTCTTGAATCAACAAAAGACACTGCACCACGAACACACTACATCCGTGCACCCTATCCCTACATTCCTCAATCCCTGAACCCCTAAGCCCGAAACCGTAGCCCTTCTAGAACCCTTATAACATATATATATATATATACCCTAGCAAACCGAAAAGTAATCCCCTACATCTTCTTTCCCCTCGACTGCCTCCCAGGCGATGATTCCGAAGGCCCAAACATCGGCTGCGGGCATCAGCACCTGGGAGCAAGGCTCAAATCCTGCATTGCATTACCTTGAGGACCCTAAACTATGGGAATTATGGTATATCCCTTAGTATTCTGGGTAATGCAGGATTTGTATCATCAACCGGAAGGACCCAAATAAAACCCTAAACCCCAACTCTAAACCCTTTTTCTACAGGACCCTCAACACCCAACCCTATACTACGAGACCCTAAACCCTAAACCCTATACTATAGGACCTGAACCCGTAAACCCCCTCAACGGCTCCAGAAGGGCTTACAATTGCTATGTAGAGAGTCTCATGAGCAGGGAACTCAGAGGGCTGAAGGTTTAACGTAGGGGCCTTAATAATCAGAACCGGAGTTTGGGGGTATATTAAATTTTAGTTAGAACAAGATTTTTTTTGGGGGGGGGGGGGGGGGGGTATATTATACTAATCGTTCAGGCTTCCCTGAACCCTAAATACCCTAAACTTCCTATTTAGGGCTCGGGCTTCCGAATTTAGGGCTCCGGCGCAGGGGCCCCGGATTTCAGGTACCTTCCCCCCGAAACCAGCGGTTTAGGCTTTAGGGCGAGCCTGAGGGTCCCAAAAGATTTCTGAACCATAACAAACTATGGTGGCAGCCGCAAAGTTGGAAGATGCGCACCCAAAATTTCAGCACCCCACAATTGGAATAAAACACATCTTCCAACTCTGGATTCTTCCAAGTTTGCAACCTTCCAACTTTTGATTACCGCATGAACCGCTCCAAATGCCGGGACCTAAAGTTGGAAGATGGGGCCAAGCAGACCCAATATTTAATTGCAGTTTCTCCGTCTCTCTCTTTCCCTACGATACTGGAGTAGTTGCAGTTTTTCTCCCTCTGCAATACTGGAGCGGCCATGATATTTGCAGCTTCTCTCTTTCTGCAATATTGGAGCGGTCGTAGTAATTGTGCAACACTGGAACGGTCCTAAGAATTGCAGTTCTCTCTCTCTCTCTCTCTGACATATTGGAGTGGTCGTAGTATTTGCAGTTTTTCGCTTTCTCTGCAATACTGGAGCGGTCGTAGTAAATGCAGGTTCTCCCTTTCTGCAATAGTGGAGCGGTCGTAATACTCTCTCTCTCTCTCTCTCTCTCTCTCTCTCCCTCTGCAATATTGGAGTGGTCGTAGTAATTGCCGTTTGCCTCTCTCAGCACTACTGGAGCGGTCGAAGCAATTGCGGTTTCTCTCTCTGCATTACTGGAGCTGCTTCTCACAAACCGAAAGTTGGAAGATACCCTTACCACATCAACCGGTCCAAACGCCGGGACCCAAAGTTGGAAGATGGGACCCAGTCAAACCCAAAGTTGGAAGATGCCGTTGCCGCATCAACGGTTCCAATTGCCGCCTTCCAACTTTCCGGCGGCTACTGTAGGATACCCAAAGTAGGGTTCTTAAAGGGCTCCTTAAAGGGATCTATAGGGTTCCTTAAAGGGGTCTATAAGGGATCTATAGTAGGGTTCTATAATATAACAAACTAGGATACTTTAAGGGTTCCTATTAGGATTACTACTAGGATTACTATAATAAGGGATCTATGAGGGTACTATATGGGGTCTAGGGGGTTTGGAGTATAATTCATAGGCTAGGATACCCAGTAACCTAAGAATAAAAAGGCCTCTCTTTTTGGTATTGGGTAACTTTATAAGGAACCTAGGTTACTACAAAAAGGGAATAAGGGTACTACTGGGCATCCTAACATACTGGGTTCTTGGGACTTCATTTAAGGTACTATAATAGAGATCTACAGTAAAGGATATGGTTTACTACTTGTGGTAACTTCGAGTTAAGCCCCTTAACAAGACCGCGATAAACTGCGGTCCTGTTGACTGGTGGCCCACAGCTGACATTCCGAGCTGGCCCTAGTTGCTTAGGGGGAGAGACTGCTCGAAGAAGCCGAGCTTGCTATGTAGGAGTCCTCTAAATCCGAACTCTTAGCGGCCACGGTTCTTTGGAACAGCCTTAGCTTCGAGGTTTGGAAGCACCGCCTGCCTTTTTATGGGAGTTTGGGAACAGGCCTTGACTTTGCATTTAGGAATGCAGTCCAGGTTCCCTGGCCTAGGGTCCCAAACCAAAAACATCACACAAGGACAAAGGATTGGAACCTAAACCCTAAACCCAAAGTCGGAGGTCTAGAGTTTAGGGTGCTGGGGGTTGCCTGAAGAAAGGGTTCGAGCAGCAGGAACTGGTAGAGCTGGCGGCTTTCAAGACTCGCTGCTGAGGTCACAGACGTCAAGAACAAATCAGGGTGTTGTGGGGGAGTTGGGAGGGTGTTCTCCGGGTGACGGATGGAGGACAAGGCCTGTAAACCCATGGTAACCTGGCTGTGCCGGGTACCACTTCATGGTTTCTCCTTGCACCACCGCGCTCCCCCGGCAGCAAAGCCTAACGGCTTAGACTGAGAGGAGACCCGGTCGCCGGCGACACCTCGACGCCTCATGCTCAGTCAGCACAGCGAGGTTCACGTAATATAGGGGCCTCAGTAACTAGAATAGGGCTTTTTAATAAGAAGGAACCCGGAAATAGTATTGGTAACTATTTAGGCCTCTAGAGTGAGGGGCTTTACAAAACCGGCACACCGGCAGCCGTGGCTGGATTGGGACGCAACCTTCCATCAGAGGCTGCACCAACAACGGGTTTAGGGTCCTATTGTACAGGGTTTAGCGTTAACTTGGAGGTTCATAGGTAGTTATAAGTGGGGTCATAAGTCCCCTTATATGGGCTATAATTAGTTATATTTACCCTACTTATAACTCCCCATGAACCTCCAAGTAGGGTGTAAGGTCAAAAGCAGGCATGGCGCCTGGCCACCCAAACTTGGCCTTGCAGCTTGCGACCACAGCGCAACAGCGAAAGCAGCATCGATAGCTACCCAGAGACTCAAAACCCCTTAATTAAGGAATATGCCTTAAGTTATAGTAGGATCCCTAATATGATTTAAGGAATATTCCTTAATTAAGGGGTTTTGGAAGCTCTGGGTATTCCAGGCCTTTTACTCCCAACTTGCAGCTCCAATCATGGAGCATATGCTAGCTCCAAAGCCACATGAACCACGAATCCTAAACCCTCGACCCAGAAACTGTTTCGGATACCTTACTTTATGGGCACATGGAGCCTTATACCGGAAACCCTTATAGAAACCTTATAACCGCCGATGACGAGATCGCCATGTTTACACCTCAATTGCAGTCCAGATGTTCCCAGAGACTCCAATGTCCCTTAATTAAGGTATGTACCTTAAAATCTATAGTAGGATCTTTGATATGATTTAAGGTATATTCCGTAATTCAGGGATACTGAAGTCTCTAGGTTTCACAGGCCTCACGAGGTTTAGGGTGTACAGCCTTGTTGGTAGTGGACCATACAACAACACATGGAATTCAGGCCTTAGGTAAGGAACCCTCAAATCGGCTATTTCTATTTAAGGTTCAGGTAGGGCTGAGTGCCCTAGGGTTCGAAAAGCAAAAACAAAAGACTGATGAAAGACTTCTACAAACACAGGTCGTCTTATCACTGGGGAGAGAACGCCGCCGTCTGGGTCCATGAGCTCAGGTGGCATGTGCGTGATGGTGCCAATGTCCTGCCAGATGCATTTCGCTGGGGGCACTGCCAAAAGTGTTAGCACATCCAGCACCTGTTGTCGAGTTCCCTTCTGCCTACTGCTGCACTGCACTATCTGTGAAAGCAAACCACTCGTCATTTGACTTTAGGCTTCTGCCTGTTTGCTTGGTTTCGAGAAGAGTTGGATGGCTGTACTCTGGGCTGTAGTGACCCGAGCATAGTCTGGTCAGAAGCCCGGTAGTATGTTTCTTTGAAGCACGCTCCAAAACCTTCACGAAACATCCCGAACACCTAGTCTGGTTGCTGCAAGCTGCCGTTAAACCCACAAGCAGAAGCACCTGGAGATTGATTCAAGGGATAAAAGGAGGGACCCCTAATAAGGACCCCTAGGTACATACCCATAATATAGCCATTATATACCCATTATAGGGTAGGGTCCCCATTAAGGGTCACTCCTTTCCCCTTTGATTGATGTTCCGGTTTTTTAGGTTCTCAAGCTGCGTTTTGGGTTTTCTTCGGTGAGGAGCTGGGGTCAGGATGGGATTAGGGTACAGGGTTTAGGGTTTAGAGTACAGAGCTTTAGGGATCCAAGGTTCTGGCTGCAAGATGTGGCTTGGACCTGAATCCCAGGTTCATCGCAAGACCTGTAACCCTCCTCAACTCCTGAAACCCTCAGCCTGGCAGCCTAAACGATAAGCCCCTTTAGACCCCAGAGGCTCCTAATATACTACCATTATGGTATTAGGTCCCCACAAGCCACCCTTACTATGGTTTTGGGGACCTAATTCCATAATGGTAGTATATGAGGAGCCTCTAGGGACGGTAAGATTCAGCAAAAATGACCCGACTGCTAGGGCGCAACCCTCCGCTAAACCCGAAACCCCAGAACCCCAAACCCTAAAACAGTTGAACAACCTTAAACCCTAAAACCAAGCTATACCCCCGTGTTATAGAGCCCATATAAGCCCCCTTACAGGCCTCCTTCTCGATCCCTTGAAGGGACCCTAAAGCCATTTAGCAAACCTACCCATAGGCCCCCAAGTAGTTCCTTTTTGGGGTTACCTTATAGGATTCTATATATGAACCCCCAAAAAGAACTACTTTGGGGCCTTAGGGTACGTCGCACCTGCGTGGGTAGAGCTTTGCCACTCACAGCGTACCTAGCGAAGCCGAAGTCGGCCTGGGAGACTCGGGGCGCGTAATGTAGGGGCCTGACTAATTAAATTAGAATAGGGTTCCGTTTTAAAGGGATCCTGTTGAAGGGGTCTATAAGGGATCTATAGTAGGGTTCTATACTGTAGGGGCCTTAATCATTAGAATAGGGTTTTGGCGCCCATTATACTATAGTTCTATTAAGGAACCCCCAAAATATTGTAGGTAATTATTAAGCCCCCCTATATTAGGGTTCAGGGCGTAGGGGAGGGCCCCACATAAACGCCATGGGAAGCTCCGGCCCTGTGCTTGGAGTTTCATGGGTAGTTAAAAGGTGGTTGTAAGTCCCCTAACAAAGGTTGTAATTATAGTTACCTTACTTATAACCCCACTTACAACTACCCATTGGACCTCGAAGTAATTTTTGAGCCCTTATCTTCACAAAATGTCTTGGGCCGTGTAGCCCAAACCCTCAGGGTGGTAGGACGCTTATAGCCCTGACGCTAAAATTTCTGCACAGCAACAACCTTTTAAACAGAAACCGCAGTGTCTGAAGTACTGACAACCGAAAATGAACAATTCTGCAAGGGATGGAGGCAGCACAAATAGCCTAAGTGCAGCAGTACTGAAAATCAAGTAAGGACATAATTATACACTCAAGTAACTTATATGTGTATACACATGATACAAACGGATAGTTATCAAAATGATGGTCCCTTTTTGGGTACCCTAAATACTAGGTGCCGTATTTTGTTAAGAACCCCAAAAAAAGGACCGTAATTTTGACAACCACCCAAATGCATACCCTCAAAGCACCAGATCATGCTCACCAACCTAAAAAGCTCATCGGGGCTTTTGGACTCCAGGCATGCCCTGATCTCCGACAAACCCTAAGGCTCCATGTGCCCATATAGTAAATACTTAGGCCTTAAAGTACCTATATAGGGGCCCCTTTAAGGCCTGGGTAGCTACTATATAGGTACATGGAGCCTTAGGGAAAGAAACCTAGATCTCACAAGTTTTGAAAGCCCTGGGCCCACCTTAGAGGGTTGGGGGTTGAAGGGTTTAGGGTTCAAGGGTTCAGGATGGTTTCTGGTCAACAACACTTGAACCAAATCCAACTAAGGAAGCCCTTCGGTGCACTAGCTCAACGGCTAAACTCCAGTCCGACATGGGAGCTTCCGAAAATAGGGGACCCTAATATAGCACCCTAAGTAGTAGGACCCATATTATAAGGATCCCCAAATAGGGTATCCCCCTAATTCTCGGAAAGCCTCACATGTCAAAGCTCGCGTGGCTTTTGAAAACCGGACATCTCACAAAACCGAGCTGCGACTTTGGCTACGAAGCCTCGAGGATCTTCCTCAGTCTCAAGGTTTAGGGTTTAGGGTTTAGGGTTTAGGGATAGGGGTTATATAGGGGCTATACTACCCAAAAAACGGTTAAAGGTTACCTACTCTACTACTAGGATTGTCTATCCAGTGGTTTTGGGGGTTCCCTTGGCTCTTTAGCTCCTTATTTGATAGGGATTATCATCATTCCTGGCTCCTTAGCTCCCATAATATCAATGGTTAGTCAAGATCAAATCCTAAATCCCCCAACTGGAGGTTGGGTTTAGGAGTGTAGCTTGGGTACTGCCCCCCCAAAACCGCAACAATCTATAATGTGCCCAAAGGACTGATACATCTATATGATCAACCTTATTCAACTGTTGCTGCGTGAGGATAGTAGCCATGGCTTGGTGTCCTGCCACCTCTGGGGCTTCACGGGTGTTTGTGGGTTCCTCCTTCCAAGGATGCCACGGCTCGGGATTCATGTTTGGGGCTAATAATTAGAGTTGGGTTCCCTATTGAATGGGTCTATATAAGGGCTATAAAAAGGAATCTTTAAGGGTACTATAACATGTCGGGGGCCCCATATGTTTCAGCTCTTGTATCCTGCAATGTAGACTAAGTACTCCGCTAGCGGTAGGAAAGAACTTACTTTGCATGTATAGTGGCATATGACATACTCAGCCCCGACAGATACCAAATCAGAAATCATTAAAAACAGCATACATACTCGTTGGGTACTTGCACTCTAAGACCCCTTGAAGCACTCCGGTTCCTCCAGCACTTACTTCTGTTTGTTTACTCCAGGCCAGTCCCAAAGCTCGGCACAAGGTTAAACCCGAAGACCATAAGCCTCTTCTCAACACAAAATTGACAAACATGGTCTCACAATCTCTCCCATCCGACTCTGAAGCTTACTTCAACCAAGCCCAGAACCTTCCGGCAATCGCAAACTTCGATAAAGAAACCAGCACAATCTAAACCCCTATTCTGGTGTAAGGGTGTCGCAAACACTGAGGGGGTTCAAGCTCAAGCAGACGGCACAGGGTGAAAACAGGGGCCTGCATAATTTTGAACAAGAGTTAGGGAGTATTTTCTAACAGAATATATATATATATATATATATATATATATATATTGATTGAACATACGTTGAGGAGTCCCCAACTATCTGCCCTCCGAATGTGATGGGATATTGGGTTTGGTAAATCCGACAAAATAGGCCGACGCTTTTTTGGGGCTGATGGTAAACTCTGCTTAACGACGTCGGCCTGTATGAATCAGCACAAACCCTCACCAAAGCCTCAACCTTGAGAAATCCAAAGACCCGAGAGCCATCCCGAATCCCAAGTCTCAGTCCATAGCCCTACAGTAGAAGCCCAAAAGTTGGAAACCCGATAGCCTCAATCCTAAAGAGTATTCTACAGGGAATCCCCGCACTATTTGGCCTTAACCCGGTTTCCAACTTTTTGGGGTTTACTGTAATGAAGAACTATAAGCGGTCATAGACCTAAAGATCTCAACTCAGGGGCCCGAACCTCAAAGCGACAAAGACGAGTTCAGGCGCAGTTCATTCCCGCTAATACTGCCGTCTGTCAGCATGTATGTATGCAAAAATCTATACCATATGTCATATATCATATATATATATATATATATATATGTATACATATATATATATATATATATATACACACTGTATATATATATATATATATACAGAGACTAATGCATGCATGTATATGTAGGTACGTATGTGTGCATGTGTCTTTGTATGTATGCGTGTGTATGTATGCATGCAGGTTATCTATTTAGGTATCTGCGCAAGCATGCATGTATGCATGTGTGCAGGTATGTATGTAATGTATGTGTACAGGTATGTGTTTATGTATTTATGCATGCAAATTATGATGTACGTAAATGAACCCATAAACAATCAACAATGGCAAGTGTGTGTGTGTGTGTATATCTAGAGAAAACACATGTCTTTGTATGTAGATGTGTACGTATTTCGGTTGTTTGCTTGAAATGCGTGTATATATGTGGTACATTTATCCTTGTATGTATGTATGCATGCGCTTTTTCTCCCGGGGAGTAGGTACTCGCCGTTCTCCTTGCGTTTCACTGTTTCACTCGAACTTAGACTCGCATGAGGCGCGTCCTCGGGACCCCAAGCCGGGCAGAAAAAGACAAGCATGTGTGTGGTATCTGTTTGTGTTATGTTGTGTGATGTGAGGTGATGTGGTGAATGTTAAGTTATGTCATGATGTGTTGTGTTACTGTATGCCATGCTAGTTAGGCTATGTTATGCTATGTTTATGTTCTGTTCTGATCTGCTATGTTATGTAAGTTCTTATGAACAGGTGCAAATCTGCGTGAGTGGGCGGCATCCCTACAGACCAGCCGCTCATCCGGCTCATGCATCAAACATCACAACATTCGACGTGCATTTCATTCCCGGCACAGACCCTGTTCAGAAGACCCCGACATTAAAGACGTCGCAGCCCCTCAAAACCCCAAAGCCCTAAACACTCCCGGAACCATAAACTCCGAAACCTCAAACCCCAAAACTCCAAATCCCTAAGCCCTCAACTCTGTTATAAGCCCTAAAACCCTAAGCGTTCAACCCCTACAGGCCCAAACCCTGTCACCCAAAATCCTTGAAATACCGTAAAACTCTCCATAAAACCGCACTCCCCAAAACCGTGAATCCCCGAAAGCCCTGAACTCTACCGAAAAAAAGTAAACTCCACCACTGAAGCCGGGATTCCTCTGTCCTCTCCTGACTGGAGACGAGCACGTTGCGGCCGGTCAAGTCGGCATGGATGATCCTTGCGGGTTTAGGGGTTTCTGGCTTAGGGGTTTGAAGAATCTGAAGGGGTTACGACAAGGTCTCTATAACTGTTGCTATGGGGTGAAAGATGCCTTAGACATGATCCAGAAGCACAGTGACTTCTGGGGCAACTATCTACGACAAAACTTCACGAATGCTGACCGCGCTGGCCCTGGATGAATTAACTGCACATTAGAGACAACAGGATCGACATTCACCGAGAACTGTGTTCTCATGATGCCTGCAAAAATCGTTTTGAAGCTATCATAAGACAGATCTTATCAAGAGGGCCTTCTCGTTGAGAGAGCTACGAGGTCGACCCAGCAATCCAGGAAGTACCTTACGAACTCCTAAGCGTGCGAGAAACACCTCAAAGACCACAGTAAAAGGATCACCCAACCGACGTAGAAGAGCTGGAAGTATGTGTCGGAATGTTGTTTTGGAGGGATAACATAACAAGCATGAAACTGAGGATTTAGGGCTGTAGGATTGTGGGGTTTAGAATTTCAGATAGTGATTCATAGGGATGCGCTTAGTATCTGTTGGTAGTAATTAGCGTAGGGATCGGCACATTCCTGCCTAACCTATTACATGCTACATGAGGCATGATCATGGGCATGATCATGCCCATAAACATCCTACCCTAGGGCTTGACACCGGCAGCCTACCATGCCCCGGCATGATCCCTGCATGACACACGGCCCTTGTTTTCGCCGACAAATGAGCGCATCATCGAAGCTTCGCGATCACCTGGCATATCAAAAACTTGAGAGGAGAAGAGAGAGACAAAGAGAGAGAGAGAGAGAGACTGCACTTTCAAGCACTTGTCTAGCCTACCCTATGCCCAAATTCTGCCACCACCTACAGAACCTGAACCATGTACTGAACCTCATGCAGATGCTCTTTTTTCTGCTTCCCCCAGCATTGCTTTCCCCAGCATGAACTTATGCACCTGCTTTCAAGGCACATTAATCATTAACAGTATCAAAACAGTGCCGCTCCGTTTCTTGAGTCGGGCCCTGTGAAGATGGTCGGCCCTGGTCGGCCGCAAGTCCATCATTAACAGAACAGTGCCGCTCCCTTTCTTCAGTCGGGCCCTGTGAAGTCGGCCCTCCTGGTCGGCCTCAAGTCCCTACTCCTCGCCTAGGATTTCATTGACCTTCTGCCAAATCAAAGGATGCACCTGCTTCACAGGCACATCGAACTCCTTCAGCGAGTCGAGCCGCTTCTTCAATCGGGGCCTATGCCTGTCGGATCGGACCAACAGAATGGTCTCCATGAAATAGACCTCGGTCCCGGTGATCCGTGCGAGCTGGAAAACCTCAGGCCCCTGAGCAAGAAGATCTCGGGCCTCCTGGGCCTCAGCCGGCAGATCTGGCCACGACAGTGCCTCCTGCAGCTCGGCGAAGGACTTCTGGACTGAAGCAAAATGCTTGTCCAAGTCCTTGTGGAATGGTCGGAGTCGGTCCCTGAGCACTGTCTGCCTTGCAAGTGTGCACAGCGCATCCCATGTCGGGCCGCTCGGGCCGCTGGGCAAATCAGCCTTCCAGTTTCCGCCGCTGTCGGTCCCTCCTGCATGAAGCTTCAGGTCCGAGAAGGCCTGGAATGAACTTTGCAGCTGCACGCGGAATGCATCATGGCTGCTCGTCTGTAGACAAACTCGGGCCTTGGCAACTGCCTCCTCGAGATCTTTATATGATGCCACTTGCAAGTCATCCCAAGACTTGATCAGGGCACTGAGGCTTTCGATGTCATGACCGGGCCCGGACGACACATGGTGTTCAATCTTCAACCCTGTCAGAGTCTTTGAAAGCCTCGGCAGCTGCTCTGAATCCTGTGGAATCATCATAGCTTTCACCACCGCAATTGCCAGCTCGCACGTTGCAATTCCCAGAGCCGGATCATTGACCAGTCGGTCCAACCAGGCTCGGGCCTCGGTGCTTTTGCCGGCAATACCCACGTGGCAAAGTGCCTGAGATGTTCCAATGCAATATGCACACTCTACGACGAGGCCTTTGATGTCCCAAAAACCTTGAGCTGTCCTACTGTCCTGTGTTGGCGGGATAATGCAAACTCGTCCCGTTAAACGTTACGCACATTTTAAAACACTGCGACATGTGATAACTGGGTTGTGGCTGACTAGTAGTTAGTGGCTGGCTAGTGGCTAGTGCTGGTGACTGACTGTTGAACCTATTGTGCAATGGGACCAAGGTCGCTAGCTAGAGTCATTCCATGATGGCAGTATGCCCGAACACATAGGAAGTAGGTCTGCATAGATCGACAGCCATGTATCCACTTCAACTGATGCAGATGAACCAAGTCAATTGTTGCATCCTCAGGATTCTGAGGCACTCTAAGGGTTCCAAGTTCTATGAGAATGTCCATGGCTTTTGCTATGCAATTTGGGTCCTGGAAGTTGCTGTCGGCTTATTATGGGAGTGAAGGGATGTGAACACCGGCCGGGGAGTCCAAGCAGCCTGGCATGACCCAGGCAGAATTGCTCTCTGCAACATGAGACATCAAGTTGACAAAGCTATGAACTTCAATCTCCATAGAATAGGAATAAAGACTTGCCCTGTCAAGGCCGCTTCCAGACCTGGGACATGAGAGTCTAAGTCCTGTGTCCTGTCCCAGGTCCTACAAATGGGCTAAGTGAAATTAGACCAACTGCAACAGAACAATTTGCGAGGAAAGTTGCGCTAATGTCCGCTGTAGCAGACTCCACATCTTCCGGCGAAAGTTCTTTTCCTGGGTCCAGTGCAGCATCGAGCCAAGCCAGTGCTTTGCGACTTCTCAGTCGCACATTGAGCTTGTCGATGGTAGACTGGAAGTTCTCTCTTTCTAGAGAAAAGCTCTGACCCAGGATCGCGACTTTCCTGGCCCAGCCCTCTCGAAGGTTGAAGACTCGGACCTCAGTGGTACCCACAAATTTTCTCTTCAAGCAAACGTTGGGTCCTTGTTCATGGATTGAGAAGAAGCACTGTGCACGACCCTAGTACTTCATTTGTAACTGGTATTTGCATTTGCACATCTGCAGTTTACCCGCATAGCTGCTGGGGTTACCATTTAAATTCATTTAACCTCTTTATGACAGGTTAGAACGACAGCTGGTTATATGTCATCTGTATAAGGATTTCATGATTTGGACACTGCCTGCAAACATCATTCACCAGTCAAGACTCCAGCTCTGCTGCCCTTGCATCTGCAGTGTCTTCCGGTTCAGACTCTTCTGCATGCAGCAGCCTTGAATGAAGCTTCTGCAAATCGAGTGCCAAATGCTTTTGGACTGCCTCAGCCAAAAAAGCCAGAGTCTCAGTGTTCAACTCTCGAGACCAGGCCCCCCAATTGGCTTGTAAGTCGGCCCAGGCTGCATCCAGCTTCTCTTCATCACCGCCCTTCAAAGCTTCCAAGCAGTCTCGGACCACGGGCTCATGCAGCACCTGGGTACTCGCGCCCAACCAGAATCGGTCCAACCTTTTCCTCCAGGCGGCGCTCTGAAGGAGCTTCGCCACCTTGGAGGTGGCTGCAATGGACAGCACTGGATTGTGCTTCCGTTTGGTCCATGCCTCCAGCTGATCATCTCTCACCGGCAGGCTCTGCACCAAAGCACCCACTGCTCGGACCGTTTGCACCATGAGCTTTGCCTTCTCAATTTTCATCAACTCGGGCTCATCCGCAGACTTCTGCAGCATTGTCTCGCTTAGCTCTTGCAGGCCAGCCACATCATCGTTTTGCATCATCTCCGGCAGACAGTAAGACACAACAATGTCGTGTGCAAATGTGACCTTGTCCTCCTGACTCATTGCCAGGGTTGCCACTCGGGCCTCTTCTGCATTGAAGAGGTTTTCGGACAACTTGGGCCACAGAACCTCAAAGCAACGAGCAATGTTCTTATTCGTGCCTGCCGTCAATCTCTCACACCTTCTTTGCACCAGTCCCTTGCAAGTAACCAATGGCAGCGGGCCTGGCCAGAAGGGTTGAAGTGTGAGAAGATGCTGGCCAATGTGGTCATCCTCGAGTTTGCCGACGGATGAAGGCCGAAGAGCCTCTGCCGCATGAAGGGCCGCCAAGTGATTCTTGAATCGGGCCAGGTCCTCTTCCTTGCCAGCTTTCTCCATGGCAGGCACCCTCTCCCGCATGTGATACAAGGTGACTTTTGGCTTGTGGCACTGATCAAGAAGAAGCTTTTCCACCGACAGCTCGTCCGAATTGGGGCCGGATGTTGTCGACTTGGGCGTGCTGCTCTGGCTCAGACGGCGCCTTTGTTGCCTTTGCCAAGATGTTGGAATGGCCGACAAATCGGGCCTTCGGGCCGAGCCGTTGGCCTGCAGGCAAAACTGCTTTGTTGTGTCTTTGGCTTACTGACGGACCAGAAACCTGCTATTTGTTTGCTTTAGCTGCAAACGATACAGGAACAGTGGGGGCAGTTGCCCACATCATGCTAACTTGCAGGATGCTGCCTGGATTAAGAGGATTACCAAGGCGACTGTGCTATGAACTGCCTGGCCTCTTGAAAGCAGCTGCCCAGTTGATGGGCTGCTTCCATCGCAGCTGCTGCAGCATTCTTGGTGGATTGCAGCACATTCTGCATATTCCACTCTCCCGGAACTTCCCCTCGTTGCAACTGCTGCATGCGCTCCAGGATGGCAGCAGTGCCTGCAGCAGCACTTGCTGCTGCTGCTGCCGATGCCGCTGCAGCAGCAGCTGCTCCACTCAGTGCCCTCAATGTCGGATCTTCATTGCCCGTCCTGGGTTTCCATCTTGCAAAACAACAATTTGCTGCAGCTGTAGCTCTGGGTGCTCCAAACCCATGCATCAGTGAAGTAGGCTATGCTCTTCACAGGAAAATACAGGAGTAGGCCTAAAGAAAAGAAAAAAAACAGTACATGGCTGAATGAGAAGAGGGCTATACTTGTTTCTGCAGTTTGGGTTTAAACTGCTAAGTGTTGCTTCACAAGCAACACGTTTGCTCCCTCTGCTAGTCCACAAACTTCTGGGACGTAGGCCAAGAGAAAGTTTCCTTATGTAACCATTGTAACCCTTTCTCATCTGAGATCTTTGAATCTGGTTGGTGATTGCAATTTCAAGCAGCTGCACTGGTCAGCACATGAACATGAGTCATTTATGAGCAATGGTGTTTTAATTTCAAACGTTGGAAAATATACTTAAAAATGGACAATGTCCCAATTGACCGTGCCATGCTTCGTGGCTGGACTCGGGCCACTGCTCGGACCATCTGTGTTCGGGCCATTCGGAGTTGCCGAACCTGGCCTCGATAATGATGTGGGCGTTGTCTCGCCGAACAGATTAGAAGCACCTCCGGAGTTCGATGGTGTACCATCCATCCCGACTGACGGCAATCTATGGTTTCTCACCTTGACTGATTGCCGTGTTTGGCAACGGCACTGGCAAGCAGCAGCATGTGTGTTCAATTGTCCAGGGAAAGCCAAGCACAAAGCACCCCAGCATGCTGCATATTCAGTCCAAGCCTACGGCCTAAGCCCATGCATTGTGCTGCACGTCAGCTCATGTTACCCTAGCAATGACTGTAAAACATGCCAGGCCATCAAGGCAATCTCGGGCCCCGAAATCCTGCTGCCTGACCTCGGAGAACTTGCAGGTGCACTCATGTAGCATGTACAGTCTAATGTTGACCACCTGCAGTTTCTAAGAACCCTGACATCTCAGGAACTGCAGCCCTTGCTACGTCCAGACCAGCTGAAGTCAACAGACCCAGAACACTGGACATGGTGCATGGAAGGCACGTCTTTCAGCATGATGCAATGCTCAGAAACAACCAAAACTAGTGTCTGTAGCACACTTGTCACTGACTCTGTCTGACACGAACAGCAGTCTTATACTTGCACTTTACACTTGACACTTTACGCTCTACACACTTCTAAATCTGCACCACTGCCAGACTTTTGCACAAGTCCATGATGCTGTAAGCTGCGAGCACTATCAGACAGAGACAGAAGAGGAGGGGGTGAGACAGACACCGGGACGGAGGCCAAGGAACATGATGTGTATAACTTGGCAATGGCCAGTGCCAATGACTTCAAAAGAAGTAAAGGGCAATGAAACAGACAGCAAAAGCAACATGAGAGCGACGATAAGGCATTCATCTCTATCCCGAATCTGAGGGCGACTGCTCGCCGACTGTGTTAAATTCGGATGAGTCAGCGGAAACGACCTTTCCATGGACAACAAGACCAGCTGCACGTGGCATGGCAAGTTCGGTGGATCCCGCACCCACGGGTCCAAGGCAGAAAATTCTAGCACTGCACGAGACCCTATCCGGGGGCAAACGGCAATCCAGGGGGCAGCAAAAAGAACAGCAATGGAAAGAAAGGCCACACGTGCATCGACTGGAGCAAGGAGGGCTAGTGAACAAATACTGAAGGCTTGGGAACAGTTATGCAAAAGAAGTGACAGGAGCAGGATGAACTACATCTCCTGCGATTTCTACCTTGCCTTGATTCTGGGGCCTTAAGCCTTGAGCTCCATGCAATGTGAATGCCGAGCACATAACCATGGAAGATCCAATTGGCGACAACGATGAAATGCAATATCTGCTACTGTGATCTTAGTAAACACAACAGCGGGTAATTTGTATTTTACATGGCCGCCCAAAGTTTCCAGCGATTCAGTTCTGACACTGCAGTGTAAGCAAGTTTTTTGCGCAAAGTAATTAATTGCTCAGCTGCCAACCCTTCCACCACGAAGCCTTCTGTTGTGCCATCTGCATGTAGCACCTGCGAGTCGCAGCCGGGTGATTCCAGACTTCAGGCTTGTTGGTTGCGGGTCCCGGAATCCTGGCAAGAATGGTTGATTGGGATGCAAAACCCTTTGATCTTCATGGCCCGGTACCAAATCAGAGTTACTAGCTCTACCGGCTGGCCTATGGCGGCACGCCAAATTAAAAAACCTGAGAACTGAAAATTCATCAAACTCTCGTCCTCTCGTAGGGTCTACCAGGTCTAGACTAGACTAAACCAGCAAGCATGTCGGCTGACCCGGCGGCCGGCAGCGGCGGTGGCAGTCGCTGGCATGTGGCCGAGGAGGGCTGGGGCTAAGACCCAAAGCCGGCAGGCATGTTTACAAAATCACTCGGGCCTAGGGTGAGGTGCTTACCCTGTGCCGCCTTCTTGCTATCCAGCCACAAGGCTTAGTCTAGCTCCAGTCTAGAAAAATTAATGGTGGGTGTGGTCGAAGGGCTCGGGTCTAGCTGTGCGATGTCCGTCGTCTCCTTGTCCTTGCTGTAGTCTGTAGGATTTCGAGCCTCGTCCTCGTGCTTCTGCTTTGACACCTTCTCGGAGCTGGGCGGATGGCCCGTCAAGGACACTAAGGCGCTCCTCGGCAGTGTGGGCTTTGCCGGTTGTGCCGGATGCTTTCCACGGCTGGTCCGGGAAGTACACTCCTTGGCCGAAGCAGGACCTTTCCACTGTGCGTCCTCCTGCCACGGCTTCTGTTTCTGGCTGTAGGTCAGTGTAGGTACTTGGCATCCCTGGGGCTGTGTATGCAGCCACTGTGAAGCAATGGGGCACTTTCTGACCCTTGTGCTGAGAAGGTGCTTCGACTGCACCTGGCAGTAGATGAATTGGGCCAAGACCCGGTGTTTCAGCACCAAAGCTTGCCACCGTCAGGTTCTCGACCACGAAGAAAGAATTAGGGACAGGGTTCAGGGTTGGGTCTTGATGCGGTTCTTGGGCACTGGAGTTCAAAGCTCTTTGTGGCTACGGCTTCGAGAGGCTCATGTACTTGCCTTGTTGAAGTGCAGAGAGGGCATCTGGTTCAGGGTAACACGTTGATGTTTGTTTCAGAAATACATTCTGGTACTGCAGGTAGAACCACCAGCATCAGGACTTCATTGTCAAGAGGACGAGGCTGCTTAGGTTTCGGCAATGACACTCGGACAATCCAGGTGAGACATATGGCATATGGGTTTCTCTAATTTCTAAACCGAAGAAACCAGACTATTGCAAAGCAGCCACTGGCCCCGATGCTCGGAGAATCGCAAGCCCTGACACGACCCCTGACGCCGCAAGCCATGGCGACAGCGACTACTTCTAGTGTAAACGTGAGGAATGTTGCTAAGCTGCAACATCGACCCGAGAGTAGGACAGGCACCAGAAGCCCCGACAATGCCCCTGAAGCTCTATCCTATCTAAGCCTTTCCAAAGGCGACGTATGGCCGGACTCCCGAAATTTGCAAACCTGGAAATCTGCACGAGGCGACGAAAACCAGAAACCCTGCCACTGCCAAGCAATTCGACCCGGCGAGACCTAGGACAACCGCAAGCCGTGAGACTGCCCCTGACACTGCAGCTTTTCGTGCAACGATCGATTTTTATTACTGTTTCAGTGCCCACTGGGGCTTACAATGCCGTGAGTCACTACATGAAACCACCTACTACCTTCGCTTTAAGACTTGAAGACTTTAAGATTCCAAAGGAATCGGCCCAATGGAAAGTATTACAGTACGTACAGACATACAGTCCACAACCGCAGCAAGCCAACAGGAAAAACAGGACACCCGGCCCTCATCTTCCATTTAAAAGCGAGGATCTGGAGGATCTGCTATCTGGGGCTTGGTGCTCATCTAGAATCTAGAGTTTTTTTCAACTCCTGAACGACGAACCCCCGGCCTCAGAATCGAGGTCAGCCGCGTCTTTGGGGCCACTTCCTCAAACCTCACATCGTCGGGCTCTGGCTTCTGGGCTTCAGAAATTAGTCCTAGCAGTTTTAGCTGAGAATGCACTCATCAGGACGGTGTGCCACGTGACTGACATGGTTTTCGTTCTGCCCAAAGGAGGACACGAGGTCAGAGCTCGGTAGGATTTAAGCCTGACCACGAAATTGGTATGGCACAGCACAACACGGCCAAGCACACCGAGATGTGACACAATGTGAGCTTGCCTCGTTTTCCCGGGCTGCGACTGCACCGGAAGTTTCTATCGCGGCCACTCAGTAAAAGTTTTGTAGATTAGCTAGTCACCTAACGGACTCAGGAGTATTTGGGAATGAACACTGAAGCTTTGATGGTCCTAAAGAACAGATGCTGTAACCCATTTCAACATCTAGAGCTGAAACTTGCAAGCACGGTAGCCTTGCCGGAAGCACAGCCAGGACAATCTCATTGAAAACACACATGGGTCCAAGGACAAGGCAAGCTTCAATGCAGGCCCAAATGCACATGCAGCAGTGATTGGTGCACTCTGGAATTTGTTTTTCATCTGTGCAACACCTCGGGCCATGGAATCCCCCTCCCTCGGCCAGATCTGGGCAAATTACTAAGTCCGAAGTCGCAAGTCACTAGCAGCTAGCAGCCATGCTCTGCACGTAGTTTCTCGAGAGCGCTCTCGAGAACTGAAATTGTACGCTTGGCATTTGCCAATTCCGGCAGCACAGCCTTGAGCTGCTCTGAATCTCGCAGCAGGCTTTCGTGCTCTTCAGCACAACGGAGAAGGTGCAAATAGTGCCCTTCTGTGAGTCCTCGGATGAGGTGGGGTCTGCAACAGGAAAGCATGTGCTGCCCTGCCAAAGTCAACAACCCTCCAAAAATCAATGAGGTCCAAGAATCGCGGTCGGACCTCTCTCTCTAGCGGATCTTTCTCCCCTGCCCGCTTCTTCTTCAGTGATCTTGTCTCTTCGCGGCCATCCCGAAGCTTCTGCTGCTCTTCACCTTCTGGCTTCACCATGTCCATTCGGCCCTCAATGTCTAGCATATGTTGACCTCGAGAGATTGAAGGAAACACTGTATTCACTGGATGTTCGCCTGCTGGGACAAGTGCACCAGCACCATCATCTTCGGGCCTGTGACTGGCGGTATCCTCACCATGATGTTCGCCTAGGGCTAGGGCTTTAGGACCTGGATGTTCGCCTGCTGGGACAAGTGCAGCAGCACCATCATCTTCGGGCCTGTGACTGGCGGTATCCTCACCATGATGTTCGCCTAGGGCTAGCGCTTTAGGACCTGGATGTTCGCCTGCTGGGACAAGTGCACCAGCACCATCATCTTCGGGCCTGTGACTGGTGGTATCCTCACCATGATGTTCGCCTAGGGCTAGGGCTTTAGGAATTGAAGGGGTTGCAGCTCATGACTTTGTGGGCGGCTGGAAGGGGGTGTCTTCAGTAGACATGTCATGTGTGCAACTTAAAGCCATGGAGACAAAACCACAGAAAGAAACCGATATCGTCGACGAGGCTCCTTGAAGCACAGGTTCAGGCTGTACCCTACGTCGACGGCCATTGAGTCTAGGGTAGGACTTCGACCATGGCGACTCACCGAACCGCCGGATATTTCTTGGAGGCGTGATCATGGCTGCGGACTGGGAAGGAGGCAATGAATTACATTCACATGGCATCCTTGCAGTTGTACTCAACATGTGTGCCTGCAATCAACACTGTCACACCAAAGCGGCAAGTCTGGACACCAGCAGGCCATGGCGGCAGCATGCCACGCCAACGTCAGCACAGACACACACACACACACACACACACACACACACACACACTCACACACACACACAGCCTCCAAGTGCCGGGCCTTTGGCATCCCACACCGAAGTGTTTCCGTCCTGTTGCACTGTGGGTTAAAATCTAAGAAGAAACCAGGGGCACAGTGAATGGATGCAGAAAATGAGGCAAAGGGATGATGACGGTGCAGGATGGCTTGGCTGGCCTCACTAGTTCATGAGCTGCCAGGGCACCATGAGCTACAGTCATCTAGAGTAGGATGACATAGGGCGACTTGGACCCATGATGCCTTTTGCTGGAAAGCACATTTCAAGGGAAGCTGTTTGCATTCTCGGAGCTGCAGCCATGATGCATTCTCATCTCTGTTGGGGCATGCAAGGACTCTGTTTCTGTTTCGCCCTGCAATGAGGGAGAACGAAATCTCGGCGACCTTGTCCCTACACACGGTCTGTAGGAATTTGCAGATTCCCATATGGGCTGCCATGGGGCACAGTCGCTGAAGAGTTTGGTTGTTGACTCTAAGAAGCCTGCAAGTGGGCAGTGCTAGCCGGTTGCCAGTTAACGCCCACTACTACAGATGTCTTAATTTCCGTATTTTGACTTTTGGAAGGCTTAGGGTTTAGGGCCTTGCCTGCTCTCAGCACGGAGATCCTGCCAGTGATGCCAGGAACACCACCACACAGCCCGTCGTCCGCCGGTGTCGATGCGGCTGGTGAGCTGGATGTGAGCTCTGGCGCAATGAATAAAGGTTGTCGGCGAAAGTGCAGAGGCTGGTACGGACAGATTCAACATCCGGTCTTGTCCAGCTTGCATGTTCTGCGATGGCTTCCTTGAGGTTCCGAACCTTTGGCCCACTCCGGACGGTAGCCGATTTCTTGCAGTGGCCACGGAATCTGAAGTACCTGCTCAAAGCTGCTTGTTTTGAGCAGCTGGCTGCAGGTGATTCTGGCTGGGCAGGCATCTCCGTCTCCGTTTCCAATCAGCTGAGAGTCTAGGGTTTAGGGTTAGTGCGGCTTCAGTGTTTCATGCTTTTACTTGGGTGCGCTTTAACCTCTGCAGGATTGATGACGGTTCCTGGGTACGACGTGGATCGGGCCTTCTTTCTCTGGGGCCTGGAATCCACAAGGCTTATTTAGCTTGGGCTTCGGGAGGCCTTTCTGGCTCCTGTTCTGCCACGGTCGACAGGAGCCAGAAGGAGCCTGGGGTGAGAACTTGTGGTGAATGTAGTTTCCGTCTTCGGCTCCAAAGAGGGAAACTGCAGTCACTGGACCCCAACACCAATAGTCAAGTCAATGAACTAAGTCTTCAACCCAAGCACCGACACCCCGCCAGCTAAACCAGGGCCAGTAAACGACCTTGTCAATTCCAAGACAGGGAACACCACCGAGGCCTTCTCAAACCTTTTAACCCTGAGACCCTGTGCAGAAGTTCAACCCTTGGATTCCTAAAACCCTAAACCAGCCTAAACGTTTATTTTTTTCTGAATACAACACAACTAAAACCCTGGTATCCTAAACCCTGGCTGCCGAGCCGTCCTTCCGGTTGAAGGAAGACCTAGGGGGTGCTGGTGGGCAGTCGGTGGGGGGGGCACATTACAGCAAAGCCTGGGGCCTCTGAATCACTAATGCTTGGTTGAAATGAGACTCGTGGAAGATGTCTTTCTTGCTAGGCTTCAGGAGTCCCAACAAGGCCTGGCTTGGAACTAGCTTCCACTAACCTGTAAAGCTTTAACGGGACAGATGCCGAGCAAGTGGCACGGGGGCACACCAACACCTATGGACTGCTGCATGTGGACCCTACTATGGACTTCTCTGAACCCCTATGGACCCCTAAAGACCCCGATGGATTTCTATGGACCTCGATGAACCTCTATGGACCCTTTGTATTTTTATCAGACCGGCCTTGCTCTGCATTACTTTTAAAAACTCTGCTCGCAGTTCGCAGCACAGATAATCATGGCCATAAGGCAGAGTCTCGAATGGAGGAGACAAGAAGCCGAGGCACCACCACTAGTATCTGGACCGCACCAGAGCCTTGTTTAATCCATGTTCTCGATTGTGAGCCATGTACTGTGGTACTCGGGCCGAAACGAAGCAGGGCTGCAAGCGTCTATGACGACTTGGTGCAGTGAAACAAACAGGACATGAGACCAGTGGGCTGTGGTTCAGGGAAAGTGGAACCTGCAGAAGGTGCTGGCCCAAGAACGGGACCACTGCTTTCCAGAGGCCAGGCAGTTAACAGGGCGGTCGACCTTGGTAATCCATGCAGTGAAACGGTGTCTGTGAGCCCCCAGCCCCCCTGAACCACGTGCCTCAGGATAGGTTTTTCGGGCTTCAGGCCATGTGTGCCTTCCATTCGGGCTTGGCATGTTGGCCACGATGGGACTGCTGCTGGGGTGTCCCCGAACGGGCTAGGCGGCCGGTTGGTAAGGGAAGCCGGCCATGCATACAAATCCGTCTTTTCACAGAAAGGATTGGCCCTGTCTGACTGTCTAAGGATTGTTTGTGTCTGAGCTGAACAGAAGCCAGTGGACGCCGGGGACATGTAGGGGTCCAGGAGATGCAAGGCAGGATGGGGGCTGGAGTTGGACTCTTCAGTGGGATTCCAAGCAGGACTGGGAATGTTTGATGGCAGCTGCATGTTCTGGCCCCTCAGCACCCATTCCCGCCAGACGTGCCTTTTCCAAAGACCACCCTTAGGGAGCATTGTAGTTGTTGTAATCATCCAACTAACAACAAACTCCAACTAAGCTCAGCTTCTTCCACACACTCAAGCCTATCGATTAACCCCTAAAGTCCTGAAACCCAAACCTTGCAGACTGCAGACCACAAAGTGAAACCCCAACTGCAACCCTTCTTCACCACACAGTGGTTCTCTCACCTTCTGTAGACTGTAGAATGTACAAGTCGGGTCTATCCCAAACTTTGCAGCACTTCCATAAGCCCGCACCTACTTTTCACACAGTCACTACAGCTGCGGCATTCGGGCTGCAATCGGGGGCCGTGGCCGGGAGTCAAACCCTTCAATGTCACAGTGCCAGGCCCATTTCAGGCGGGGTTGTGGGTCTTGGGTCCACGTCGCGACTTGGAAGAGACTCTCGGAGACCCCTGCTGCCCTTGAAACTCCGGACGTTTCCAGTTCATCAGTGCAATGGCCACACTGCCGATTCGGGCCTACCAGCCACACTGCCGATTCGGGCCTACCAGCCACACTGCCGATTCGGGCCTACCAGCCTGACCAGGACTGTACACGCTGCCAAGTGATATGTAGGTCCTCTACGAGGACAGCACGTCTTGCAACCCGACGAAGTCGTTGTTGAGCAAGACGACATGCAAAATAGAGCTCACACCCTGGGGTGATGAGCCAATGCAGTCCCCGTCCATACGGTTCGTAGAAAACTTCGGACCAGCCCAGGGACTCGATGAAAGCAATCTGTTGCCAAGCAACCGGCACATCGGACCCGCTGAGCTCGAATCGTCCCAAAGAAATGTGCGGTGCATGCACGGGGCCTGTGAACGATATTTCGGGCCACACGGCGATGTACCACGTGCCATCGTCCTGGAGTTGCATCTGGACAGAGCCTGCGATGAACCGCAAGATGAACGGCCGATACATGAATATTCGGCCCCATTCGCGCTGCCACAAAGTACTTGCTCCGCTATCCTCAAGGGATCGGGTCAGACGAACTTGGCGGCGTCGGTCCGAAAGCAGATGCCGGAACTGTGGCAGTGAAGGCATAATGGCCAGGTCGGGTGAAAATGCAAAGTACTATGCTGTACTGTGCTGTAATGCTTTGCTGCCAATTCACTCGATGACAAGCTGCTGCGGTGGGGGCCCCACCAAAAAGCTGATTCCAAAACATAAGTGAAGTACATACAGTCAGCTGTTTGTTGTTGGCCATGGTTGCAGGTCGCGAGTGCCAACGACAAATCAAAATGGCTTATATAAGCTTTTTTCGGGCCACAACTCAACAGCAATCTAGACTAGAGCATGCACACATGATCTTGCATCTTCATGAGCAGATTCAGATTCTCCACCCACAGCACACGCATGTCACACACTCGTCCGAACCCAACACATTAGTCATCCGCTTTACGACAGACTTAGCCAGCACTGACTGAGGCCCTAGCCGGCACCAGGCAAAGGACAAGCGACATCAGCCGCCTGGCCCAGTACACATGCTCGTCCGCCAACAAATGCATGATGTGCTAGTGCTTTCCCAAAGCTTAACTTTAAATGCAGACCACGAAGGGTTGCACCCACAACGGTGTAAACAAGATGTGCTGAACACAGGCATCCCTCATATCACACTTAGACCTCATCTTCAACGACATTTCCCCCAAAGCATCGCAAGCCTAGGCTTCTTCTGGCACCCACCCACCTGGAGCCCCGTGACGGACTTCGGGAGGTGCTTCGGGCCTGCCCGGCAAGTTTTCAAATTGAGCTTCGAAACCTTTTCAAATTATACATCATGGATTGCATCACTGACGGGCGCAACTGCAGTTGCAGCACAGCAGCCCTAGAGGCCCTATAGAGGAGGAAGTAACACCAGGAACTCACCTCGTTGCTAGA